TTCCCGCGGGTGCCTCATTCACACAGAGGCCCTGGGAGGCTGGACGAAAGCCTATAGGGCCTGCAGGGCCATGTCTGCACAGAGACCTGGGGAGGCTGCACAAAATCCTGCTTGTCCCCCTTTACCATGTGTGCATGAAAGCCTGGCATGGACGCATGAAAGCCCAGAGGAATCCGGGGCCGATGTGCACATGGATGTCCGCGGAGGCTGTACAAATGCTCAGATGGACCCCCGAACAAAGTGCACATGGGAACCCAGGGCAGCCACATGAATGCCCATAGTGACTTCAGGTCCATTGCACACAGAGGCCTGGCGAGACCACACGAAATCCCATAGGGCCCCCGGAATGCAGGGCGCAGGATGATCTGTCTGGGGATTACACATGAATGCACGTAGTACTCCCAGGTCCCACTTTCTCCGGAGGTGTTTGAAGGCCACACGAATGCTKGCAGGGCCCGCAGGGTACAGTGCACATGGAGGCCCAAGGAGGCCACATGAAATTCCAGAGGGCCCCCCAGGGCCCAGTGCACACGGAGGCCTGGGGAGGTTGCACAACAGCCTGGAGAGCTCCCAAGGCCCCCCACAGAGGCCCAGGGGGCCACATGAACACCCATTGGGTCTCCAGGGCCCAGTGCACAGGGAGACTGGGGGTGGCCACACAAATACCGATAGGGTACCTGGGGCCCAGTGTGCACAGAGGCCCTTGCAGGCCGCACGAAAGCTCACAGAGCCCCCCAGGCCAGTGCACACGGAGGCCGAGGGAGGCTGCATGGAATTCCATTTGGTCCCAGGGCCACGTGCACACAGAGGCTGCACAAAAGTCCATAGGTTTGCAGGATCATAGGCAGCAGCTTGCCAGCAATTCAGTGGTACCTCGGTTGGTGGTGCCTGATGGTACCGCGCTCTGTGGTACTTGGACCAGGAGCTCGGAGGTACCTCGGGCAGCTGCCAGCCCCTTAGCCCGGAGCTGCTAACCAGGAGCTGCTCAATCACACTGGTGGCAGGGCTGTAAGCACCCCTGCTTTAGAGCTTCCCACTGCCCGTGTGTGCTGAGCTCATCTAATTTGGGGTGARCCGCAGTTTCATCCACAGCAGCTCGTGGGTGGTTGCTGCTTTGGCAAGTTTGCAAACTCTGCCCTAGGCCTCCCCGGGTCTTTGGACGGGGCTTCCCTCACCCCTCTGCTCCGTGCCGGCCGTTGGGCCGCTCGCCCCAGCGTGCTCGTTCWGTGCTTCATGCTGAGCCAGGGCACAAGGGAGCTGTGGAACTGCGAGCGTTGCCAGTGAGGGCGAGGGGAGGGCTTAACACGTGGAAAAGCAGTTTAACTTAGTGCAATTAGTTGATGGTCTTATCGGCTTGATAAAAGCGTGATTAAGATTAAAAGGACTGAGATGAAGGTGCCGGTTCCACGGTTCAGCTCTGGTGCCGCAGAGGCAACACAATCCGAGCACTCAGCTTGGCGCCTCCGCACCCGTGCCCCGCTCCAGCCAGCCAGAAACCATTCCCTGGGATTGCTCCGCTCCGCGACGCTGTTATGCCGAGCCAGTTATCGGAGACATGGGCCGTGCTTCCTTCCTGTGTGCTGCTTCGGCGTCCAAAATTAGCAGGAAGGAAAACGTAGACCATGGAGGGGGGAGAAATGGGATGGAGGCGGCAGAAAGGGACCTTTTTAATGAGCTGGGATTGAGCTGGGAATATGGCACAGTGAAGAGAGATGCTTAATTAGGTCGCCAGCCAGCTGGCGAAGCACTCTCAGGAGACARGGCAGCGCAAGCGTCTCCGCCAGGTCCCCAGCACAGGAGCTCGGACCCGCACACAGCCTGGTGCCTGACTCGCTTCCCTTCCCGTGCTGCCCACACAAAGTGGCCAGAAGGAAACCACCCTCCTTCCTCCCTTCCTGCTTGCGATGCCCCAGGCAAATTTYTGATAGTCAATTCCCTAAAAAATAAAAAGCGAGAGAAAAATCAGAGCGCTAATGTGAGCCGACAGCACAGACGAGCTTGCGGGGGCTGGCGGGGCTGAGCCCACGCGCTCCGCTTCCAGCTCCCCTCTGCAGTTAAAGCGTCCGCTTTGCTCTTGTCCGGCGGCCGCAGCCTCCCCCAGGCCTTGCTCCGGCTCTGGCACAGTTAAAAAGCATTTTAGCMTTTTTTTCCAGAGTGCTTTTACGTATCCCACAGTAATCCAGCTGGCCGGATTTGGGACTGGAGCCACGGGAGTATTTATGGCTAGGAGGGATTTGCAGCCCAGTTATTTTCTGAGCGAAGCCTCAAAACCTCTTTAGGAAGCAGAGGTACCCGCAGGGGGAAAGGCCGCGTTCCAGGCACGAGCTTCCCGCGTCCCTTCGTGCTCTCCTTSGRGGTCTGCGGATGAGGGAGGAACCCRCGCGGCCTTTGTGYGGRGCCGCTCCTCCTCCTCCGCCCATCTGGCTGGCCGGCCGGGAASAAAACAGTAATGTCTGGCTGGGCCATACGCAGATTCCTGCAGCCTTTAATAGCCCTTGGTGCCCCCGCGGCCGCGGGAAGCCGTGGAGGCAGAGCGGGTGAATCAGGTTGCTGTGCTGCCAACACAGCGCAGGCCTCTGGTTTTAGGCTGTAACTGCCCCAAGTTTTCCTTTCCCTCCAAACCCCTCTGCTATTGCTTTTTATATTTTTTTTMCCTTATTTTTCTCTTTTTTAATGGCTCTACCCCAAATTCCCTCATCTGCAAAGCCTCTGCTTAAAGAGCTCTGACGCTTTCCTGCTGACAGGAGCAGAGTCGTGGCGGCTCCCAGACCCAAAATTTGGATGGCGCTGACAGCTTGTATAGACCCCCTTTTTGGCTCTTACCGGGGGCAAGCTGTTTGTGAGGCTGCCGTACGTGGTTGTGCTGGCACTGACGCTGAATTTTGCGTGGCTCTCAAGGTGTCCTGGCTGAAAAACAGCCAGGGACATCTGGAGAGCTGGAGCCAGAGGGAGCTCAGCTCTTGGCAGGAGYGAGCGTGGTCACCAGAGCTCCTCCTGCTCCGCTTGCAGCCCACCTTACGCTGGGAAAACACTTGGAATAGCAAAAGCAGAAGGTGCAAGGGGGCGAGGGGGCAGGCGAGAGAGGGTTAACCCCTATTCCGAATCCTTCTTTTAAGAGCTGCTGCATCCTGGGCAAACCATAGAATCATAGAATCACAGAATCCTTAAGGGTGGAAGGGCCCTGCAGAGACCATCTAGTCCAACCGTCCTGCACACACAGGGACACCCAGAGCACGTGGCACATCCAGGCTGCATCCAGGCAAGTTTGGGAGATCTCCAGAGAAGGAGACTCCACAACCTCCCTGGGCAGCCTGTGCCAGGGCTCTGGCACCCTCACTGTCAAAAACTTTTTCCGTAAGTTCCTGTGGAACTTCTGGTGTTTCAGTTTGTGGCCATTTCCTCTAGTCCTATCGCTGGCCACCACTGAAAAGAGGACGCCCCMTCCTCCTCACTCCTCRATCCACCTCACCGTCCAGTCATCTATCCCACATTTCTGAAGCTTGCCCAAATATTTGCAAGCGGGTTAATAATTTGGGCAGGTGCCTTTGATTGCCGCCGTGGGGCATTGCCTGGCTCTGTGGGGATGCAGTGACCGTTGGAGCTTTGCTGCTCCAAGGGTCACAAAGCGGTGACGGGCACGGAGGTGACGCGATGTTTCTGCCCGAGCCTGGTGCCTTCAGCGGCCCGTAGGCTCCGCGCTCGGCTGCCTCCCACCTGCCACCGCCATGGGCCAGGCCGCTCGCTTTGTCTCTGTTTTGTGCAGAGCCGGAGGCACCGCTCGGCTTTTCTGAGCGCCCGACTTTGGTCCCAGGAGCCCGGAGCAGGTGGGACTGAGGAAGGAGGATTTGGGTGGAAATCAGAGCASGGCTTGGTAGGGAGCGTGGGCAGCTGTGGGACAAGGATGGTGCCCATGACAAGGGTGCTTGTGCACACCACACGAAAGTGGGGTGAAGCCCTGGGGCCATGGCAGCGAGGAAGGCGCCGGCTTCCTCTGTCCTAGTGCCTGTCCATCCGTTTGAGAAATTCCCACMCGATAAATGGCCCCGGGAGGGTTATGCTGTGAGGCCACCGCGCATGGCCTCCGAGCTTGTGGAGCAGTCTGCCAGCCAAAAGTCACGGACATGCCAGCTCCCAAACTTGGGAGCGACTCCCTGGGCTGCTGTTGGCGCCGGAGCACGGATTTCATCCCGCTCCGGAGGGAAAAGCCCAGGTGACCCCGGGAGGCCCCACRCGGCAGCCGGCCCCAGCGAGCCGGCGGCGGCGCTGCAGCCCCCAGCAGCCCTCCTCCTCCTCCCCTTCCTTCTCCTCCTCCTCCTTATCCTTCCTCCCGCTGCCGCTGCCTCCCGGCCCAGCCTCCCGCTGCCTCCTCTGCCTGGCGGAGGGCGGCGCGAGGCCGGGGTCCCAAGCGGCCGCTCAGCCCGGCGCTCTCCCCTCSCCGGTGCAGGCCGCCGCCGCCGCCACCACGGCGGACGTGTCTCCCGGCGGCGAGCGGCCCAGGGCCGCCTGCCAGCGGATTAGCTAAAGGCCCCGGCGGCCCCCGGGAAGCGGGGGAAGAAGGATGAGCGCCGCAGCAGCTGCCCGCCAGCCGAGGCCGAGCGGGC